ATAAAAAACAGTATGAAATTGTCACTGGATTTCAACTCCTAGAACACACTGGCCCACAAAATCAAGTTTCATATCTAAAAATTGTACCAAGAGCCCCCAAATTTTCAATATGCAACAAAACATTTGGCATGTCAAATAAAGTGAAAGCCTGAAGTATACTGCTATTAGCACATAACAATATGTTCCAAGTAACTACCACAATGGTTTCTCAAGTTTCACATTTTCACCTAACAGATATGAATGTAAGAAAATTGAAATTATGCATTACAACCCATAAACAAAATTATCAAATATTTGATCGAGCATATAAAGGTGATATAAAAATGCATCCCGTTTTGTTCAAAATAACATTCCAGTAATAAAAGCACATCCTCTACTTTTACATAAACACACTAAACATTTCATTTTCTTCAAGTTACCATAAAATTATTTTAACCACCTGTAACAGTTCTTCCCAACTTCTTTTTAAGATTCTTGGAAAATACCTTAACATAATTACTTTCCACAACGTCCAGAAATTCTCCATTCTATCAAAGCTACCAAATTTCAAAAACAAGTACAACCAGTCTTGTATTATATTTCTATAATTAAAACAAAATAAGATCAACCTACATGTCCAGACTTGTATAATTTTTCTCAACTGAAAATGCTCTGAAACGCATTAACAATATAAACTATACAACGAAGTCCAAGGCAATTCATGTTCCTAATACTGCATTTGCCAAAAACGGCACCACTTTAAACCAGTCAAGCAAGGAGCTCTAAGAGAAATATTCCCGTCACATGTCTCCCCAACGAAACTTCAATTGCAATTTTTTTTCCAGTTATACTGAATAGCATCACCCTAATCTTGAATACAGAATGGTTCCTGCCAACTACCCCAATTTACATCAGGTCATCTCTGGGGATCCTGGAGCCAAAGGAGGATTTCAGAGTCCAGAAATCTCTCCTACAGAGCCTGCAACTCTCAGTATGCAACCACCCCCGGCATACGGCTTAGCGCTGAATAACCCAGAATAACCCTCACCCAGGACCCTCAGGTTTTTCACGGTAAGGCACACTTTGGTGGCACACATAAAGCCCATACAATTACAATCTAGCAGTTAAGCCTCTGCACTAGTGTCCATCTTCGTCACTAACCTGTAGAACCTGATCGCTCCTCCCACCCATTTCACGTGGCTGCAAAGCAGCACGACCAGCCTTCCCCAAAGAAAATTCACTCTCCGTCAAAAGCACCCACGTTCCACATCCCACCGGACCTTCGGTGCTGGCGGCTCTCCAAAGGGACACATACCCTCAAGGCTACCCCGCCCCAACGTCGGGCTTTGGGAGCATTTCAACTGCAACCCCCTCCACCTCCAGGCCAGGAAATCGGCCCGTTCTGAAACTTCTTCCCTAGACTCCCAGGAAAGCACCGACTACAGCTTCCTCCCCACAGGTGTGTCCTCCTTAGAGTCCCTTTTTCTGGTAAGCCACGGGGCCTCCTTCCACTTCGGGGGGAGGGAGTGTCCTCACCAAGATGAGCTCCTCACTGCGGAGCCCAGAAATGTAGTTATAACTCTGCCCCCTTCGGGAGCATGGAAAACCTTGCTCACGCAGGATGTAGGGATGCTTTCACTGCCGCTGGGCCACCCAACTCTGGCCTCCCTCTCAGACCACAGGTCGTCCTCCCTCCAGCCTCGTCTCCCCTTCAGGAAGCAGGCTCATCGTCTCTTGCGTCCTTCTGGAAGACTCTCAGGATTCAGGGGTGCAAGTGGCGGCCAGCAGTCATACCCGACCCTTTTGTGTGGGGCGCCCGCTGCGGCGGGCTCCGAGGCCTCCGAAGGCCCCGCCCCGGGCCACCAAGGGGCGGCTCGAGCCCCGCACAGCCCCGCCAGTTCCGGGGCTGCGGGAGTCTTACCGGGGAGAACTGCGCGGCACCCGAACCCAGAGCCGAGTTACTCCCCAAGAGAGCGCCTCCGCCCGCGGCCGACAGCCCCTACGCGAACGGCTTTCCGGAGCCTGCAGCAGCCACCACCTCCTTCGCCGCTTCACAAAATGGCCGCCGGCCCGCTCCGCAGGTCCGCGTTCCAAAAGGGGCGGGACTGGGTGGTGACGTCACGGGCGAGACGGCGCAAGCGCACTGACGTTTTCAGGCTAGCTCCCGGAAGTTTCCCCGGTGTGTGGCGAAAAGAGCCGTGAGCCCCTGCGAGCGACTCTTGCGCACTAGCCCCACCTTAGGAGAGTGACGCTTGTGGTGGGATGGGTCCGGTATCTGGGTCAGCCCCTCACTGCGGGGCTTTGTGCAAATTGCTTCGCTTTTTTAAGCCTTTGCGAGAGGAGGTAAATACCTGCTTCGCGTGATTGTTTTGAGAATTAGAAGGACCATAAAATGGTGCCTAGTGATGATTCCCTGACAGAAGAACCAAAACCTGATTCTTTTGCCATTTAAAAATTTCAATCAGGGGAGCCTTACCCACCAGTTTTCATTAACCCATCCACAGCTGCACTTCAGTATTATTTTATTATAGAAAAATTACTCTGATGCTGCTTTGGTCCAGGCCTCCCAGACTCCACTGCCCCTGCCTATACCCTACCCTATATACCCTATATAATAAAAGGCTATATGCAAATTGTCCCCTCGGGAGTTTGATCTGGAAACCAGGAGTTTGACCACTCACTATGATGTGCACTGACCACCACGTGGGGTGGGGGTGGGGGGGCGGGAGGAGGACCACAAGACACATGGCGGGCGACCAGCTATGGTGGGGCACTGAGGGAGCAAGGGAAGGGGGCGGGGCATTGGGCCTCTAGTATATTCATGAATATATGTTCATGAATATCACCATAATTGAACTAATTTTCCAAAGTGAGGAGTCAACTAATAAAAACAGGGACTAAATTTCCACAACTTCAACATGCCTGGTGCTGGCCCAGTGTGCCAAAACTAGCAAATTAAAAAACCAGGCCTGGCTCACTCTCTCTCTCTGGAGCACCTACTGGCCTTTCCCTTCCCTTTCCTTGCTCTCCAGGACCTTTGCCTTTCTCTCACCTAAGCTCCAAGGGCCCTCCTGCCCCTGTAATTTGTTTCCTGAGCCTATGCAGCCCCTCTGGCTCACTTCTACTACCTCTGTAATTTTCTAAATAAACTTTCTCTTAAAATTTCAGTGAAAGAAAAGGTCACATTTTTAAATTGATGAGAGAGAGAGAGAGAGAAACATTGATTTGTTGTTCTACTTATTTATGCATTCATTGGTTGATTCTTATATGTGCCCTGACTGCCGGATGGAACCCATAACCTTGGTGTATTGAGGTGATGCTCTAACCAACTGAGCTACCTGGCCAGGACCAGGCCACACTTAAACGAAATCTATACTTTATTAAATATACTCTTTGTAGGTATAATATAGTGTATTAAAAACAAAACCTACTAGGCACCTCTCCAGGGAGCATGCCCATGCCTTTCTTCCCTCTCAGGTATGCACCTCCTAAACTGTAAGGGTTGCCAGGAGACCTACAGCCCCGGGGAGCAAGGGGCAGCTGCAGCTCATCCCAAGATAACACCCTGAACCTGTCTCTGTCTCCAAGGCCCCTTTTCTCTGACTTTCCAGTGAGCCTAAGTAAGCCTGCCTAGGCTCATTTCTTTCCTATAAGGTTTCTAGAGAACCAAAGCAGCCCCATCTACTCTCTCTCCTGATGCTTCCTTTATCCTAAACCCTTTCTGGTTTCACTGTCCTCAGCTTTAATAAACATAATCTCAAAGTCACCTGGACTCATTTTGTGAAAACTTTCCTGCACCGAGTCAAAAGGAAAAAAAGAAGAAAAAAACTTACAAAATGCAATGTTGTGTCCAGGATTGGATCCTGAAACAGGAAAAGGGCATTAGTGGGAAAACTGTTGAAATCTCAATAAAATCTGAAGTTTAGTTCATATTATTGTACAGATGTTAGTCTTAGTTTTGACAAATGTACCAAGTTAAATTAGAGGAAGTTGGGTGATTAATATATAACTGTACTATCTTTACAACCTTTTGCTAAATCTAAAATTATTCAAAATAAAAAAATTTATTTAAAAAACTTATATAATTTCATCTCTTCCTCCTGTCCATCTGCATTCACCATACTTTAGACTAGTGAGTGGTTCGTAACCTTCCTAATGCCGCGACCCTTTAATACAGTTCCTCATGTATGGTGACCCCCAATTTCATTGTTACAAATTGAACATAATTAAAGCATAGTGATTAATCACAAAAACAATATGTAATTATATATGTGTTTTCTGATGGTCTTAGGCAACCCCTGTGAAAGGGTCGTTCGACCCCCAAAGGGGTCGCGACCCACAGGTTGAGAACCGCTGGACTAGTGGCTTTCAAACTTTTTTGATTATCACCAACATAAGAAATACATTTGCAACTTGGTATATACATGCAAATAAATAATTTAAAAATATGTATGATGTAGTCTAATTTATTTTTCTCTCATTTGTTTGTGTTCTAGTAACTATCCACCTATGTCTTCAGATCCACAAATGGAAAAATCTCTACTCTAGCTGCATTGTCCTTCTACTGGTTTCTCAAACACACCATGCTTTTCATACCTAAGGCCCTTTGCTTTTGTTGCTCATTCTCATCCCTCACTCATCCCCAGCTCTTTCCATGACTGGAAATCACATTTCTGCTTAACACCTCCTCAAAAAAGATTTCAAAGTATGCCCAACATAGCAGGTTCTCCCCATTATCTCCTTTACTACTCTATTTCTTCCATAGGCTTATTTATTTACTCATTATATTCTGACTCTCAACAAGAATGAGGGCAAGGTCCTTTTTGGTCCTGTTAACCAATGTATCCCCAGTACCCAGAATAATATTATGCTCCTGACAAGCACTCAAATAATTGTTGAAAGAAGAGATATGCAAGCAGACTGAGTCATCTATGGAAATCAAGTGGAGTAGTAGTCTGCTCCACAATTCCCAATCATAGCTTGGAATTCTCCCTGGGCCTCTCATAAAGTCACAGAGTAAATAGAGGAAGGCGATTTTATTTCTCTAATCTGCAAATTAACAAATTTTTAAAAAGAAACAAATTATTAGAATAATGGGTAGTATCATATAGATATTTCTCGCTCCACCAGGTCAAAAGAAAAGAAGAACAGAAAGACAAGCTTTCTGTTCCATCTACAGTCAATATGAAGAGGTGGCCTCTGAGGCCACAAAAAAAGATTAAATCATAGTTGATTATGTTTGTTCCTGAAGGAATCAGTCTTGCTAGTAGCAGTAAGCAACAACTCAAATGTCCATGTATAGCATCAGGGACCCTGAACAAAGAGCCTTCTTTTAGTTCTTCTGGCTCTCTCCACCAAGGATATAAGCAAGATCATAACAAATGTTCCTTCTGCTTCAGGGTGAGACATCCACCGACCATAAGAACAGAGAAGGACTCCTGGAGATAAATGGGGAGTGTTTCCCACCAAAAAAGCTGAGACCCGGGAAAGATCCTGTGTTTCTGCCTTGGAGGTGAGCTGATGCTGAAGTCAACTGGGCTATATCAATTCTGGTTTGAACATGAAACACCCACTGGTGTAATGAGGTGCCGTGCAGTGATGACGCAGGAGCAACCAGGACAGCACAAAGTCAGAGGCCCACTCTTCTAGTGTTGGGTCCACTTGATGCTCTTAAGGTCAATGCCATCCTGCACCATCTCCCAGAGAGGGCTGCCAAAGAGAAGAGATATTGGATGAGGGAGGGCTTAGAGAAGCAGCAGCCAAGAATCCTTTATTAAAGGGAGGTTTCCTATACTTAAACTACAAGTCACAAATTTTGTATTGATATTGCTGCAAGGACAACTATTAATACTCTGAAAAACCCCTGAATTTATGTACTTCTTTAGTTTTTAAAAACATTTTTTCATATTCTGAAAATAAGTAGCCAAAGATGTTCACTTTCTTGTTTTGTGGAATCTCTAAATTCTAAAATCCAATTATTTGCAAACTGGTTTCCGGCTATGTGAACACAGCATGAGCACTGCCATTTCTTCCAAAGGGTCTCTGGTACAACAGTGCATACCTCATTTCTCGAAGACGCTTCACATGGTAAATGCACTTCTCTACTGTGTAGTCCACTTCCTCCTCTGTAGTGAAACGGCCAATGCCAAACCTGAAAAGGGCACAGGAGAAGAGCTCTGCATCAGAGCTCTAGCACTGAGGTAAATTCATTCAGCAAATACTCAATGAGGATTTACTCCACACACAACATGGAGCGAACATGGTCCTTCCCCTCTAGGTCTGAGTTTCTATGGTTTGTGGACCAACCACATCAGAATCACCTGAGAAGTTTCCTACTCCTCCAGACCTAGTGAATCATATTCTCTGGGTGTAGGATTCAGAAATCTTCATCTTACACAAACTTTCCAGGTGATATTCAATGAAGTCTGAGAATCACTGGTCTAGAAACTTTCATGAAGAATTAAGAAGGAATAAGGACAACTAGACTGAGGAGACGATAACAGGAGATAAAATACACACAAAAAAGATGCCTTTCATAAATGTTACAGCTCAACTGACTGACCTGATAGAAGAGTGAGCTAAATCCTCATCAGTGCCAATTGCTCGAAGGACATAAGAGGGCTCCAGGGATGCAGAAGTGCACGCACTGAGGAGAAAGACACAGAGCCTTGCTCAGTTCATCAACATCTGATTTTAGCCCCAAACCCCCAGACCTGCTCCCATCTTCCAGGTCCCTAGAGTCATAACATGGAGACAAAAGAGACATTCTCATCTGTCAGAGCTAAAGGGCCGATGCTACCGGCACTTTCTGGGATTTAAATCTAGCTCCTCTGGTCCATATGGCGGTTAAACTCTTTAAACAAGGATATTGCCACAGAATGACACCACAAGAGCTGGTCTGACAACAAGAGGCAGCAGAACACGTGTTCACTCCCCTGTGACCGAATACACCATATTGTACCAGCACAGATAGCAGCTAAACCCGTGGTGGCCTTTAAAGTATACTTCAATTCCAGAGGCCTACAACAGAACTGCTAATACAATACTAGAACAGATACTTGCATCTCCTGGGACTACAAAAGGTACAAAATTCTACCCCAAGAAGCCCTCCTAGAATGGCAACTTCAGCCTGTGCCCAGCTAGCTAAAAAAATAGATGTTTACGACCTAGCCGGGTTGGCTCAGTGGATAGAGCGTTGGCCTGTGGACAAAAAGGTCCTGGGTTCAATTCTGGTAAAGTACATGTACCTTGGTTGCAGGCTCCTCCCTGCCTGGGCCCTGGTTGGGGCATGTGCAGGAGGCAACCAATCTGTGTGTTTCTCTTACACTGATGTTTCTCTCTGTCTCTCCCTCTCTCTCCCATTCTCCCTAAAAATCAATAGAAAAATAGGCTCGGATGAGGGTTAACAAAATATATAAATAAATAGATGCTTACAAAATGACCTTTATTCTTAACCAAGAGCTCTTGTACCTGTTATCTCTATACTGGAAAGCTCAATAATCTGTTATAACACTTAGAAGCCAGGCTAATTGGTCCTGCCACAGTCCTTTCTACCTGATCCAACTTACCTCCCCGAAGATAAGGCAACATCCTTGAGTGCCATCAGTAGACTCTCCCCTTCCACATAGGCAAAGGAGAGGTTGATACAACCTGGAAAAGAGAACCACTATGAGAGGAGTCTAGTCTCAGGCTCTTCCAGAAAGGGAATAGAAAAGGCATGTCCATACCTGGGTAATGGTGATAAGGGTCCCCATTCATCACCACATCCGGAAGGCTCTTCATTATCTTCTGTATCAGTCGCTCTGCTAACTTTGAAATTCGCTTGTGATCATACTAAGGAACAGGCAAGAGAGAACTAAGCAGAGGACCATCAACAGCAAGGAAACACATAGGACAAGGAGCCCTCCTCCTGTGTCCAGAAGTGACTGTGCATTAGATCTACCTATCGTCCTATGTTACTCATGGAGACCACTGTATCCCCAGCACAGAGCAACAGAGCACAGCACCTAGTATGCAAAGGTGCTAAATAATTGGACACATGGGTTCCAATAACCCAGAAATAAATGAGCTGATAACTACTGAAGGGACCTGGATTTTGGAGCCCATAACACCTCCCTCCAAAACAAGATGCCAGCAGCACTGGGACAAAGACAGTTTTCTTAAACCTCCTCTTCTGGCAGAGATCTGACTCATTCATGCTGAGAAGCTTCTAACAGGAGACCCAGCACAGGGGAAAAGGTTGTGAGAGGAAACTGCTCTCTCCCTACCTCCATCTCTTGCTGTGCCACTTCACACGCAGCCCCCAGGCCCACCACCAAGGGTGTGGGCACTGTCCCAGACCGCATACCCCGCTCCTGCCCCCCTCCACTCTGCAGGGCCTCCACACGCACACGGGGCCGGCGGCGAATGTAGATGGCACCAACCCCTGGCAAACAAAGTTTGTTACATAAAAGAGAAAAAGAAAAATACAGGTGAAATAAAATATAACTTTCCAAAGGGGTCAAAATATTCTTTCAACTTTTCTATAAGCTTGAAATTTTTCAAAATAAAAAAGCTTGGAGGAAAAGAAGAAACAGCAATAAAAGCATAATACATATCAAAATTATTTAACATCAGGAGGGTAACTACCAGAAGGAGTCAAGACTCATTTTTAAGTTTAAAGTAGCTCCGTATGCATGTGTAAAATGGCATCACCCAATGCAGCATTACTCACAATAGCAAAAAAAAAAAAAATTGGAAACAACTTAGATGTCTTTCATCAGAGGTATGGGCAAATAAATTATGATACATGAAATACAAAGCAGGTGTATAAAAGAATGAGAAAGCTCCTTTTGTACTGCTGCTGTAAAATCTCCAAAATACACTGTTAGAAAACTGTTAAAATTTTAAGTCTATACTTTAATTTTTTAAATGTATTTTATTGAGTTTTACATAGAAGAAGGGAGAGGGATAGAGACTTAGAAACATCGATTAGAGAGAAACATCACTCAGCTGCCTCCTGCTTCCCTTGGGGATAGGGCCTAAGCCGCAGTCTAGCCTCCCTTTGTGGGAAGTGACCGGGCTGATCAGGGAAAGGCACCAGCCCCATCACCCCGCTGCTGCAGCCACTGCCAGTCACCGCAGCCACCAAGGTGTTTTCATCAACACGGACTCCAGTCCCTTCACCATGGAAAAATGACAACTTTCTTTCTACTGGGGATCGAGTCCGAAACCAAGGTACATGCCCTTGACCAGAATCAAACCCAGGACCCTTCAGTCCGCACTCTATCCACTGAGCCAAACCGGTTAGGGCATGCACTTTAATTTTTTTAAAAAAGATATGCCCCCCCCCAAAAAAAGATATGCCCAGCCTGTGTGACTCAGTTGTTGAGCATTGACCCAAGCACCAAGAGGTTGCCAGCCGATTCCTGGTTAGGGCACATGCCAGTAGGAGGCGTGCAGTAGGCAGCTGATCCATCGATGTTTCTATTTCTCTCTCTCTTCTCCTTCTCCCTTCCTCTCTAAAATAAAAAAATCTATAAAAACATATTTTTTTTAAAAAGATGTACTGTTAGGTGGAAAAAGCAAAATGCAGAACAATGAGTATAGTGTGCTATCTTGTGAGTTAAAAAACAAAGGGGGCCGAAACCGGTTTGGCTCAGTGGATAGAGCGTCAGCCTGCGGACTGAAGGGTCCCAGGTTCGATTCCAGTCAAGGGCATGTACCTGGGTTGCGGGCACGTCCCCAGTGGGAGATGTGCAGGAGGCAGCTGATCGATGTTTCTCTCCCATCGATGTTTCTGACTCTCTATCTCTCTCCCTTCCTCTCTGTAAAAAATCAATAAAATATATTTAAAAAAAAAAACAAAAAAAAAACACAAAGGGGGAGCTCTGGCCAATTTGCTCAATGGTTAGAGTGTTAGCCCGCAAACTGAAGGGTCTTAGGTTCGATTTCCAGTCAAAGGAACATATGTTGGTTGCAGGCTTGATCCCCACCCCGGATCAGAGTGCATGGGGAAGGCAACCAATTAATGTTTCTCTCAGTCTCTCCCACTGCCTTCCACTCTAAAACTCAGTTGGAAATAAAATATCCTCCATTGATAGGATTAACAGGGTAGGGGCATCTGTGGGAGGCAACCAATTGATGTGTCTGTCTCACATTAATGTTTCTCTCGGTCTCTCCCCGTCCCTTCCACTCTCTCTAAAAAAAAATCAATGCCAAAATATCCTCAGATGAGGATTAATAACAAAAAAGGATTAACAACAACAAAAAATCCTTTGAGGAGCCTGACCAGAGTGGCTCAATGGTTGAGTGTTAACCCATATGTACCAAGAGGTCATTGATTCCATTCGTGGTCAGGGCACATGCCTGGGTTGTGGCCTGATCCCCAATAGGGAGCATGCAGGAGGCAGCCCATCAATGTTACTTTGTCATTGATGTTTCTTCTATCTCTCCCTCTCCCTTCCTCTCTCTGAAATCAATAAAAACTTTTTTTAAGAAGCTTTAAAAAATCCTTTGAAGAAAAAACAGGAGGAAATCAAAATGGAAGTAAAAAAAAATACCATAATCTCCCAGGGTCTGTAAAACTTAGAAATATATTTGACTCATGACTTAGCAAACCCACTTACAAGTATTTCATACCAAAATATAAGCACAGATGTGCAAAGATAGTCACTAAGTAGTCAATAATTTTTTAAAATATGTTCTTACTGATTTTAGAGAGAGAGGAAGGGAGAGGGATAGATAAAAACATCAATGAGAGAGAATCATTGATCAGCTGCCTCCTGAAGGCCCCCTGCTGGAGGTCAACCCTGAAACCAGGGCATGTGCCTTGAATGGAAATCGAACTGGGGACCTCTTGATTCATGGGTCGACACTCAACCACTGAGCCACACCAGCCAGGCAAGAATTTTTTTTTAATATATTTTATTGATTTTTTACAGAGAGGAAGAGAGAGGGATAGAGAGTTAGAAACATTGACGAGAGAGAAACACCGATCAGCTGCCTCCTGCACACCCCTCACTGGGGATGTGCCCGCAACCAAGGTACATGCCCTTGACCGGAATCGAACCCGGGACCCTCCAGTCCGCAGGCCGACACTCTATCCACTGAGCCAAACCGATTAGGGCAAGAATTTTTTTAATAGAGTGGGTACTTGATGAAGTTCACCGCTCACACAGAAAAAGTTTTTAGGCAGAGATTGTGGGTACGATAAAAAGTTATCATGAAGAAACCCCAGTGTTTTTTTTTAAATATATTTTTATTGATCTCAGAGAGAAAGGGAGAGGGAGAGATAGAAACATCAATGATGAGAGAGAATCATTGATTGGCTGCCTCCTGCATGCCCTCTGCTGGGGATTGAGCCTGCATATGCTCTTGACCAGAATTGATCCCAGGACCCTTCAGTCTCCAGGCCAATACTCTATCCACTGAGCCAAACCGGCTAGGGCAAGAAACCCCAGTTTTAAAATAACTTATGTACCAAACTACATGAATCAAGAAATATTTCATTTTTCATCAAATTCAAGCATCCTATACTATCTGAATCTCTGCAGTTGTCAAGTTCGGGGAGAAAATGCTCAGATTCCATGTCTGAATAGTGAAGGAAACCATGTTGTCTAAATTTACTTAGATCCTGAGTTCAGAAAGCAGGACTTTGGATAGTGAACAATACCTTTACAGATTTAAGTGCAGAGCAGAGCTTCTGCTCAATGAGTTAACTGGTTTTATCAAAATAGATGTATCTTCAATTAAAGCTAATAAAGGCAACTTTAGGTAAAGATAGAATGGCAGTTGGGCTTTTTAAAATAATAGCTCACAAAAACACTCTTTGCAATCTCTGGAAACCTTTAGAAGAAGTCATATTACATACTTTCAGGAGCTATCACACCTTCTCCCACAGGATGTATACTCAGATGATAAAACCTGCAGACACAGAAAGTGTACTGGCATTACCAACCACCACAGGACCTCACCCCAGAGACAGAAGAGGAATTGTTTTTTATGGCCACCTCTATAAAATAGAGGACAACAATATCTTCACAAAGTTGGGGTGAATAAGAATTCTAGCTAGAGCCGAAACCGGTTTGGCTCAGTGGATAGAGCGTCGGCCTGCGGACTGAAGGGTCCCAGGTTCGATTCCGGTCAAGGGCATGTACCTGGATTGCGGGCACATCCCCGGTGGGAGATGTGCAGGGGGCAGCTGATCGATGTCTCTCTCATCGATGTTTCTAACTCTCTATCTCTCTCCCTTCCTCTCTGTAAAAAATCAATAAAATAAAATAAAATAAAAGAATTCTAGCTAGAAACATTCCTAAATCAAAAGGACCATATAGAGCCCTAGCCGGTTTGGCTCAGTGGATAGAGCGTCGGCCTGCGGACTGAAGGGTCCCAGGTTCGATTCTGGTCAAGGGCGCATGCCAGGGTTGTGGGCTCAATCCCCAGTGGGGTCCTGCAGGAGGCAGCCGATCAATGATTCTCTCTCATCATTGATGTTTCTATCTCTCTCTCCCTCTTCCTTCTTCTCTGAAATCAATAAAAATATTTTTTTTAAAAAGAGGACCATATAGAATAGACAAATATTCTTGAAAGACTAACAGAGACATAGATGACTAAGTCTAAGAACAAACACCAAGAGATGTACGTTTAAGCCCACACAATCATCCTCTGAGTGGTTCTCAACCTTCCTAATGCCGCGACCCTTTAATACAGTTCCTCATGTTGTGGTGAACCCCAACCATAAAATTATTTTCGTTGCTACTTCATAACTGTGATTTTGCTACTGTTACGAATCGTAACGTAAATATCTGATATGCAGGATGTATTTTCATTGTTCTCGACCCACAGGTTGAGAACTGCTGAAAAACACAGGGGAATAAAGGACTCAAAGACACTGCTCTGCATAACATAAGGGTCAGACAAGCTAGCTGGACTTATTCCCTGTTCCTCAACCAAATTAATGTCTACATGCTTTCTAAGGATTTTCTAAAGAGAACAGGGAAGAATGGTCTGCTACATAGTAACTATGAGGATCTACAAATAGGAGCACACCCTGCCCCCCTCTTATTCTACCCAGGCAGCCCAACTTTGCCTTTCCCTCTCCTAAGCTCCAAAGGCCCTTCTTTTGCTGCTGTACCTTGTTTCCTGAGCCTATGCAGCCCAGCTGGCTTACTTCTACTACCTCCGTATTACTTTCTCTTATAATTTAAAAAAAATAAAATAAAATAAATGACACTTGAATTCTGCAAGGCACTCTGAATTTACAACTTCTGAGATCACAATAGTCCCAAATGATTCCAAGTGTAATAGGCAGTTAGACAGACATGAGCAGAGCAAGGACCATGTGCCAGGTACAGAAGGTCACCAGGGCAGAAAGTCCTGGGTGCCCAGCAAAGGACAGTTATAGGGTTGGACCTCGCCCCCCAGGGTGACTGTTCTTCCCCTAGCATACTGCTGGTCATGCAGTTTAGACCCCCTGACCTTTCCTCCCTAGAGATAACATCTAGGCCTCAGTTGTATTTCAGCTCCAGGCCCAGAAAAGCAGCAAAACCAGACCAGCAACCCCATGGCTGACCTCAGGACCAGCTGCATTGACTAAAGACCCCCTGCAGTTGAGACTTAGACCCTGAAAGGACACATCTGGAAAGCTGCTGAATATTTTTTTTTGTAATATATTTTTGTTGATTTTATTGATTTAGAGAGGAAGGGAGAGGGAGAAAGAGATAGAAACATCAATGATGAGAGAGAATTATTGATTGGCTATCTCCTGCACACCCCACAATGGGATCAAGCCTGCAACACAGGCATATGCCCTGACTGGTAATCGAACCATGACCTCCTGGTTCATATAGGTCAATGCTCAACCACTGAGCATGCCAGCTGGGCTGAATATTCTAATAAGATCTTCCCGTGGGACCTCCCCTAAAATCTCTATCCAGCCCTAGCCGGTTTGGCTAAGTGGATAGAGCTAGAGTGTGGGCCTGTGGACTGAAGGGTCCTGGGTTAGATTCTGGTCAGGGGCATATGCCCGGGTTGCAGGTTCCAATGATTCTCTCTCATTATTGATGTTTCTGTCTCTCTCTACCTCTCCCTTCCTCTCTAAAATCAATAAAAATATATTTTAAAAAAATAATAGCCCTGGCTGGTTTGGCTCAGTGGATAGAGCATCGGCCTGTGGACTCCAGGGTCCTGGGTTTGATTCCGGTCAAGGGCACATGCCCGGGGTTGTGGGCTCGGTCCCCAGTAGGGGGCGTGCAGGAGGCAGCTGATCAATGATTCCCTCTCATCATTGATGTTTCTATCTCTCTCTTCCTTTCCCTTCCTCTTTGAAATCAATAAAAATATTTTTTTTTTAAATCAATCAATGAATGCATAAATAAGTGGAACAACAAATCGATGTTCTCTCTCAAATAAAATGCGTTTTTAATAAATAAATAAATAAAATAAAACCTCCACCCAGTGCTCTCTCCCTCCCCAGAGCATGACCATGCCTTTCCCTTTCCCTACCCCTCTCTACCCACCCCCAAGACATGTTACCATTATCTTCCTCACTCCCTAGCTTCAAGGGTTCTCCCTTTACCTCTATAACTTGTTTCCTAAGCCCATTTCTCCTAGGAATTACTTTTTCTACCTCTATGCTTTACTAAATATGTGTTCTCTTATAGTTTGGGTCTTGGCTCTAAATTCTTTCGTAGCTAAACTCAAATACTGAGGTTGCTGCACCCAGGTCTGGTCTGACCCCACAAGTTAGTTACCTGGTGCTGTGTCGCCTACAACACAAGAAACACCTATCAAAGGGTTTACTGGGAGGTACAGAGCAGAGGAACTCTAGGAGGGGCTGGTACCTTTGGGACCATAGATTTTGTGACCACTGATGCTCATGAGATCAATTTTCATGTCGTTGACATCAAGTGGGATTTTTCCAACAGCCTGGGCTGCATCGGTATGGAAATAGACCTTTCTGGAACTGCAAATCCGCCCTGAGGAAACAACAGAGGGAAAGAACATAGCACAATGTTGAGAAGTCACTTGGCAGTGATCCCACAATGTTCCATGAGTTCTAAGGCAAAACTGTATCTGGCAATAGCCTCTAACCATGTAATAAATCATTTCTCTTTCTCTTCAACACTGGTCTTTCAACATATCAGATCAACTTTCATATCCCTTTTTATTTAAAAGAGGTAAAAATTAACAGATGAATTTGCTAATGTGACTAGGAGGTTGAGTCTAGCTCTAAGTTAGCATAATAAAGAGATGTTCAAAGCTGAAAACAGAGGAAGAAAAAAAAGAGTAGAGGTTTTTGGGGATTTTCTTTTTACTACACCAATTGCAGTAAAATGAAAAGAACATAAAAGGTACTAGACCTGGATTCAAATACTGGCTATATCATTTATAATGTCTCTTTCCCCAGATTTTCTTACTGTATTCTATAAAGTGTTACAGCTCCCAGCCCCCTCCCGCTACTCAGGTGCTTGGTGGGCAAGCATAAGGCTTCACGACGACACTCACCTATTTCCGAAATGGGCTGCTTCACTCCAATCTCATTGTTCACAGACATGATTGAGACCAGGCTGGTATCGGGCTGGATAGCAGCCTCTAGTTCCTAAGAATATCAGGAGTAAGGAAGCTATACAGCACTACCAGGTACTCCCTAACTTAGAATGTGGGCAAGCTTAGTCTTTTGCTACACACCTATCAGAATAGTGATAATACAAAATTGCTGGGGAGGATGCAAAGAAACTGTATCATTCATATTACTCTGGAAATGTAAAATAGTACAGCCACACTGAAAAACACTTTGACATAAAAACCAAAACACTTTGGCAGTGCTTGTTCTTTATAAAACTTGTGAACAAAAAGGGGTGCTGTAATAAATCAGTGACCAAGAATAATCTCACAGGGTGATCTGATAAAAAATTCCTAACTGGCCCTGACAGGTGGGATCAATGGTTAGAGCATCAGCCTGAGCACTTAAGGGTCTAAGTTTCGGTTCTGGATCAAGGGCACCTACCTGGGTTGCAGGTTCGCTCCCTGGCCCTAGTCGGGGGGCAAATGTGGGAGGCAACCAGTTGATGTGTCTCTCTCTGAAAAGCAATGGGAAAAAATATCCTCAGGTGAAGATTTTTTTTAAAATTCCTAACTGAATAAAAAATAAAAAATTAAGACCTCTAACTTCTTTAATGAAAGGTTTATCTTGCCTTAAGCAAGCCCTGTCCATTGTTCTTGGGCATCTAGGTTAATACACCTTTGAAATACCAGAATAATCCTCTTTTCCACACCTCTCAGAGGTGTGACCACCCTCAAAGGAGCACATAATCTTGTTAACTATTCTGTAAACCAATCAGAGATTTTTCCGCCTCACTTTCTCCTACCTTTATGTAATGTTATGTTCCCTCCTTAATTCCAAATGTACGTGACAGGGTTCTGTCTACATACTATATCTTAGGATTTGTCTAGGGATGCTAGTATCCAAACTCTGGTGGACAAGATGCTTGGACTCACTACCCAAAATGGACACATAAGGACATAGTACAAAAAGGGAAATATTCTTCTAAAAATCTATGCCTCCTCTTCAGAGTAGGGGAGGAGGCCAGAGCTTTGCCATGGTATCAGCCCCTGGCATCCTGCACACACATCCAGTGACTCCCACACAAACCAGGAAGCAGCAACAAAGCTGAGAAATACATCCTCCAAAGAAAAGGAAGACGGTACACACTCAAAGGGAACATAATCTTGGTTTCTCTGCCAGGCCTATTTCTCTAAGCCCCTCCCTCATCATTAGATCTAGTCCTTCAAGCTTGAGCTAAGGCTGGAGATAGATATAGATATACAGGCAGAAGACATGCTGCTCCAATTTTTCCACTCCTGCCAAGAGCCACTCCTACCTTCAGGTCAATGATCCCACTCTTCTTCACTGGGAGGTAGGTGACCTGAAAGCCCTCAGCTTCCAGTGAACGGCAGGAGTCCAAGACACATTTGTGTTCTGTCTGGGAGGTGATCAAGTGCTTTTTCCGTGACCTATAAAACCTGGCCACCCCCTATAAATTGGTGGTGGTGGAAGAAAGGAGAATATAATCAGAAAGACAGCAATGACTTCCATCCCATTTGTAAAGGGAAAGTGGGCAAGGTGGTATGCTCCAAGATCAAATCTCTAACACCCACTGGTTGTCCTACAAATCAATTTAATTCTGATACTAACTACCCAGAGTTAGTGCAGGGTAAGGGGTTCAGTCCCAGAAGACTACTCCCACTTACAACCCAACTGCAAGTCCTGGATGTCACAACCATCCGCCATACTTCTGCCCAGCTGGCTACAAATTCAGGGCTTCCACAGCCCTCTAAAGTTTAATAATTCACTAGAATAACTCACGGAACTCATTAAAAGTGGTGTACTTATGACCAGGGTTTTATTATAAAGAATACATCTCAGAACAGCCAAATGGAAGAGATGCATATGGTGAGGTCTAGAGTGGGGAGGGGCTTCCATGCTCTTTCCTCCTGGAATCTAGGCATGCCACCACCTTCTCCACACACCCATGAGTCCACTAATCTGGAAGCTCCTGCAAGCCTCTCTGCCCAGAGTTTTTATGGGGGTTTCATTACATAAGCATGATTGATTAAATCTTTGGCCATTGGACCCAATCCAATCTCCAGCCCCACTCTCCTCCCCAGAGGACAGGAGAGCGGGAAGTTCCAACCTTTTAATCACATGCTTGGTCTTTCTGGAGTAGCCAGCCTGTCCCTTGAAACTAAGGGCCCACATGAATTACCTCATTACCATAAACTCAGAAATGGTACAAAGAAGCTTGTTTTGAATAAGGAATGACAATCCTGTCATTCAGGAAACTCCAAGGCTTTTTGAAGCTCTGTACCAGGAACAGGGAACAAAGACCAAATATATTCACAGATGGAAAATAGGGAACATGCCTATCCTTACACCACAAGCAAAAGCCTCTCTCATTTATTTCTATTTAAATAGCAAAACATGCAAATATAGGGATACTGATTGCCAAAGCTGGCAGTGTAGAAGTGAAACTCATACACTTATTCCTTGCTAATGGCAGTCTTCAGAGAATTGTGTAGAAAGATGTCTTAAAAGCTGTATTCACATTCTTTAACTGTGATTCCTCTTTTGGGAGTTTACCTTAGGGAAATATTTCAAAAAATAGAGAAGCTATAGAGACAAAATATGCTTTAGTTATATTTACAATCCTCAAGAAAAATGGGAAGGTTAAACACACCCAAGAGAATGACTAGTAAAATGAATACTAAGTTGTGATAACACAACTTCATAAACAAGAATGTACTTATAGTAAAAATAATGGAGTTTGAAATGGAAGAACATAGGATATGTTATTAATGGCTACTGAAGAAGAAATATGACATGCTACAGTTTGTGAAAATATTAAAAGCATATCATATATCTATGGGTGTTTTTTTTGAAACAACAATAAACAGAATTAGTTTATAACATAATTAACTTTTCGGAGCAGGACTTGGGGCTAGAATAGGGGAGGAAGACATATTTTATTTTAAACTTTTCTATAGAGTTAAAAATCATACTACAAATATATGAATTACTTTCTAAAAATTAAAGAAATAAAATGTACAACCCCATTCCTCCAGGGCTTATCATAGAGAATTACTATAAAAGAATATAAACTAATTAGGCCAAATTTAAAACATAAAAACTGTATGTTCTCAAAGACAAGTAACATAAAAGGAAAACATTTAAAAGTTGCCCCGTCTCCTATCTCATTTACCCATAGTGTAGAAGGCTCTAATAGCAGGTAGGTATTTACTCTACCTATCCAGGCCACTAAGGGGACAATGTCACATCTATTCTTAGCAATCCTTAACCTCTAGGTTTGGGATCTGTGGGACCTTTCAAAGCAAACATTTTCAAATTTTTGAAACCATCCCCATAGGGGATCTGGCTCTGTGGTCTCTATAGTCCAAAGAAAGGACGATTTCCTGCTAACAGAATCAGGCAGTATGATTCTGGAGCCTGTCCCTGGCCTCTTACACTCAGGACAGGTCATAAAATAAAATAAAATAAAATAAAATAAAATAAAATAAAATAAAATAAATAAAATAAAATAAATAAAATAAAATAAAATAAAATAAATAAAATAAAATAATAAAATAAAATAAATAAAAAGAAGGAACTCTTACCATTTGAAACGGCATGGATGGAACTGGAGAGCATTATGCTAAGTGAAATAAGCCAGTCAATGAAGGAAAAATACCACATGATCTCACTCATTCATGGATAATAAAAACCATTATAAACTTATGAACAATAATAGATACAGAGGCAGAGCTGCCTCAAACAGATTGTCAAACTGCAGCAGGAAGGCCGGGGAGGGTTGGGGGGCAGGAGGGAGGGGGGTAAGAGATCAACCGAAGGACTTGTATGCATGCATATAAGCATAACCAATGGACATAAGACACTGGGGGGTAGGGGAGGCCAGGGGACTGTCAAGGGTGGGGTGAAAAAAGGACACATATGTAATACCCTTTGTAATACTCTAAGCAATAAAAAAATAAAAAATAAAGAAATTATTAAAAAAATAAAAATATATATATAAAATAAAATAAAATAAAAAATAAAATAAATTAAATTAAATTAAATAAATAAAATTAAATTAAATGAATAAAATAAATAAATAAATAAATAAAATAAAATAAAATATTGGACACACAGTTGAGAGACAATGGTGAGAGGGGGTAAAGCCAGAGTTGAACTTATAGCAGCCCACAATTTATTAGAACCAGGGGATTTACACAAGTGATCCTGGTAACCAGGCTCAATCAAAGGTGAATATGTTCTATGAAACACCAACATAACTATTGAGAGTGGAATTTTACTTTTATAAGTACCAAATATCTGTATGTCCCAAGGGTAGAGTTGTGCTGATCCTAGAATGGGTGACCAAGTGAATGCCTGCAGAGGGTACCAGAGTAATCAGAACTTCAAAAAAAAATGGGGACATTTAAAGAAATGGGAGGTACTTGTTGCAAACAGATCTGATCAGAAAGAAAAGGGAAGGCTGAGAGGAAGGCAGCTGTGAAATCATACATACAAGGGTGAAACTGAGAAACATGCCCAATTGTAAGTGCATTCTGGACTTCACTGTGACTAGATCCAAAGGACGGGGAAAAGCGTTAAGTCACCATTATCCACTCTGTGAAATAGCTGCTGTCCAAAAAATCAAGTGGTTAATGTTCCAAGAGCCACTGCCTTTCCTATCCAACTACCTTATGGAACTCAGTTCAATAGGAGCAAAGATTTTAGATGGCAAAGGATTGAAGGAAGCAACAAATTAGAGTATATGTGTCTTCTCTTCACAATAGGGTGGGAGTGGGTGCCTGGGAAATACATGTATGAGCCCAGATGATAGAAAGATACCATATCCCAAGTCAAGAAAGGCCCAATATGCCCTCTTACCTTAATTGCTATGTTATTGGATTCAGTAGCGCCACTAGTGAAAATGATCTCACGAGGATCGGCCCCAATGAGAGATGCTACTTGCTGCAAGCCAAGAAACAGAGATAAGTAACATCAGTTCCCCAGGAAAGTACTTGACTACAGGACACAGCTAGGACAGAGCTCTAGATCAAGAAGAGCTCTACTGTATTCTATCAACTGTCCAAGAAGAAGCTCTGCACCTATTAGGGTCAGACAAGGATAAATTCACTTACATCCCAGATCCCAGGCTCTTTCCCAGCCCAAAACAAAATAATAATAATAATGATAATATTGGTGTATGTTTTAAAATATGATTTTATTTTTTATTTAAAAAAATATTTTTATTGATTTCAGAGAAGAAGGGAGAGGGAGAGATAGAAACATCAATGATGACAGATAATCATTGACTGGCTGCCTCCTGCATGTTCCCCACTGGGGATCGAGCCCGCAATCCGGGCATGTGCCCTTGACTGGAATCGAACCTGGGACCCTTCAGTCTGCAGGTCGACACTCCATCCATTAAGCCAAACCAGCCAGGGCTGATTTTATTGATTTTAGAAAGAGAGAGACACTGGGGATCAAACCCAAAACCTGAGTATGTACCCTGACCAGAAATTGAACTGGTGACTTTTTGGTGCATGGAATGATGCTCAACAAACTGAGCCACACCTGCCAGGACAATATTGCTATTTTTAAGACAGTACTAGTGTGCCCTGACCGGTTTGGCTTAGTGGATAGAGCGTTGGCCTATAGACCAAAGGGCCCTGGATTTGATTCCAGTCAAGGGCATGTACCTTGATCGCAGGCTCCTCCCAGACCTGGGGCCCTGGTCACGGCACATGCAGGAGGCAACTGATCGATGTGTTTCTCTCACATTGATGTTTCTCTCTGTCTTTCCCTCTCTCTTCCACTCTCTCTAAAAATCAATGGGAAAATATACTCGAGTGAGGATTAACAAAAAGAGAAAAAGAAAGTACTAGTGCCTGGCTGGTGTGGCTCAGTGGTCAACCTATGAACCAGGAGATTACAGTTTGATTCCAGGTCAGGGCACATGCCGTGGTTGTGGGTTTGATCCCCAGTAGAGGACATGAAAGAAGCAGACAATCCATGTTTCTCTGTCACTGATGTTTCTATCCTCCTCTTTCCTTCTCCCTTCCTCTCTCTAAAATCAATAAAAACATTAAAAAAAAAAAAAAAAAGCACTATTTCAGCCTTGGCCAGTGTTGGGAGAAGCATTATCCCATACACAAAAAGGTGGTGGGTTTGATCTCCAGTCCGGGCACATGTGGGAGGCAACCGATTGTCTTTCTCTCTTTCCCTTGCTCTAATATCAATTTTTAAAATTTGTATTAGCCCTGGCTGGTTTGGCTTAGTGGATGGAGCGTTGGCCTGCGGACTGAAGGGACCTGGGTTCGATTCCGGTCAAGAGCATGTGCCTTGGTTGTGGGCGCATCCCCAGTGGGGGGTGACAAGGGGGCAGCTGATCGATGTTTCTCTCTCATTGATGTTTCTGGCTCTATTCCTCTCCCTTCCTCTCTGTAGAAAGTCAACAAAATATATTTTTTTAAAAATCTTTGTATTAAAAGAAAAAGCACTATTGTGCTCATCATATATATAGGCATTGGATTAATAAACCCATCACTAGCATTGTCTCATTTAATTCACCCAATAACCCTAGGGCAGTGATGGCGAACCTATGACACGCGTGTCAGAGGTGACACGCAAACTCATTTTTTTGGTTGATTTTTCTTTGTTAAATGGCATTTCAATATATAAAATAAATATAAAAAATATAAGTCTTTGTTTTACTATGGTTGCAAATATCAAAAAATTTCTATATGTGACACGGCACCAGAGTTAAGTTAGGGTTTTTTCAAAATGCTGACACGCCGAACTCAAAAGGTTCGCCATCACTGCCCTAGGGAGTAGGAACTATTACAATCTCATTTGCAATGTGAGGAAACTAAGGCTTAGAGAAATTAAATAACTTGCCAAAGGTCATTTAGTTAGGGAATGTGGGAACTAATCAAATGCCTTTAGAGCAGTGGTTCTCAACCTTCCTAATGCTGAGACCCTTTAATACAGTTCCTCATGTTGTGGTGAACCCCAATTTCATTGTTACAAATTGAACATAATTAAAGCATAGTGATTAATCACAAAAACAATATGTAATTATATATGTGTTTTCCGATGGTCTTAGGCGACCCCTGTGAAAGGGTCGTTCGACCCCCAAAGGGGTCGCGACCCACAGGTTGAGAACCGCTGCTTTAGAGGGACTCCAAGGCCTGCTCTCTGAATCTCTTAGAGTCCCAAACCGTTTCTACCTCCACCCAAACCTACCAAGAAGGAAATGCCTCCCACAGGCCACTAAATCCATGACATCAGTACCTCCTAGATTCCTCTGTACTAACCTGGCGAGCACGTTCCATGGCTGCCTCACTCTCCCAGCCATAAGCATGTGTCCGGGAGTGTGGGTTCCCATAGTAGTTGACTAGGTAAGGGAGCATGGCATCAAGCACCCGAGGGTCCTGAGCACAAAAGAACAGATCAGTCTTGTTGAGTTAACTTAGGCCCCACTCCATCTCCTCAGACCTGCCTCAACAAACTCCCAACCCTTCAGACAATGCCCACATTAGGCCTCAAACATTCTTCCAGCCCCTCAGGTACTAACCAAATATCAACTTAATACACTCCCACTCCCAATCCATCTTAAATCAGGCTATTCTACCATCTCCCTGGGTAATCTATAAACACTGTCATGTCCTGACAGCCATTTCTGCAGGTATTTACATTCCTACCAGGAAATGTGATCTGCAAGGGGCCAGGACATGACAGAGTCCACATACTGGTGAAATCTTGTATTAATATTCAAGTGCTCAACATGTGCCACGCTGCTAAGGGCTGTTTTATGTCTTTTAATCCATTTACTACTTGCCCACATTCATAGTTACTAAATAGCAGTGCTGCTAATTCCAGAGCCCATGATTTTAACTACTACTATAGTGCCTGCACTGAAGTGATTTGACCTAGAAGATCAATAGCTTGTAAGTAGTTGAGTCATTTCTAGTGGACTGCAACTTAAGCCTCCTAACTCCTAGCTCACTGCTTTTTCCTGCACACACTCATCAATGGCTCTTAGCTCTACAAGAATCCAACAACCCCTGCTGTACATTGTCACTGCTACAATATAATTCCTATAAACAGCATGGGCAAAGCTGCCCCTCCATCCTTACCAGAGGAGTTGTAGCTTGCACATCCATATACAGAGGTCGCAGCACTGACTCCATCTCTGGAGCAGTGGCTGTATCTGAGGGAACAGCAGACTGGGGAGCATGGTCTGCAACTGCCAAAAATATGGAACAGAGTGGCTACGTGACTATGGACACAGGGTATCCAAGACATCAGAAGGTAAAGCCGGGATGGAGGTGAGTTAAGTTTAAGGAATACTGGGGTTCAATCTTAATGAAAAAGGAAAGAAAACATCAGGATTTGAGCAAACTGTAAAAGGAGATAAGGGACAGAGGCAGGGCTCTTGGAGGGGGATGTTGGGACATTATTAAAGTTGCATCGCTGGGAGTTGGGAAGGCTCTGAAATGGCAAAGCCATTTAGAAGGGATGTGGAGACATAAGATCTCTTTTGAAGGTTACTTGCTGGACCACTAGCATCTCTAAAAGTTGGTTAGAAGAACGAAGGCCGAGCCTCAGGCTCGGAAGGCCAGTGGGATAAGATCTGAGCGGGTCGCGGCGAAGTCACTAAGAAAGCCAGCTTGAGAAAATTGGAGGGATGAAGCCCAGGGAAAGAGTCAGAGGGTCTGGGTAGGGGCGGAAGAGGGAGGCTACGGAATATTCACAGGTGCGTCGCCGCGCGGAGGAGAAAGAAGGCGCGCCTCCTGGGAGGGTAGCAGCAAGCGGGACCCGGAGCGTACCGCGCAGGCGCAGACCCCGAGTGGGTGCCTCGGGCCTCGGCCCCTGAGTTGCTGGCAGGGCCGCAGCCACCCGCCTCCAAGCTGTCCGCAGCAACATGGTCCCGGAGGCACAGCCCCTCGGCCCGAGCGGCTGCAGTACTTAGCTACGAACTCCCGGAAGTACTGTCCAGTGCCCCGGAAGCGATTCCTCGGGCCACCAGCGCGCTCCGCCTTGCGTTCCGTGTGAGACGTAGACTGAGCGACCGAGGCCGCGAGCGAGGTGAGGTGGGGGCTCGAGGGTCGGAACACTAAGAGGGTGATGGAATCGGGTTACACGCTGATTTTCCTTCCCGAGCTTCCTCGAGCCCTTAGGTCCGCTCCCCAACCCCTTTTCCTCTGACCCCGCCCGACTCTCGGGCTGGCGGCCAGGCCTGCATTTCCTTGATCCTCGAACCCCACAGATGCCGGTGGCCGTGGGTCCCTATGGACAGTCCCAGCCAAGCTGCTTCGACCGTGTGAAGATGGGCTTTGTGATGGGCTGCGCCGTAGGCATGGCGGCCGGGGCGCTCTTCGGCACGTTTTCCTGCCTCAGGTGAGGGGCGCGGGTGGTGACCTGGGGTGGGACTACCGGACCTTCCCGCCCACTCCGCTTGGCCTGCTGCCTGAATGGAGCCTAACGCGTGGCAATCTCGCTGACCTCTGAGCGAGACCAGTTTCCTAACCACCTTCCGTCTGGAAGGACAGGTTGGAATCCCTCCTCTCCAGCGTTTACTAGTCTGTAACCTTAGGCAAGTTGAGCCTGGGTTTCCTCAAGTGTAGAATGAGGTCAGTAACACCTACCTCATAGAGTTGTAAGGATCAAGTCAGAGAACACTTAGCACAGACTATAGCACATATTAAGTGCTCAGTAAATAGTTATGACCGTCGTTGCTGTTATTTCCAATTGCACATCGTGAAACTTGTTGAGCAGCTTTACTGTACTGGCAACAGGATGTAGAAATGAAGCAGATAAATTCTACACCTTAAATGTCATTTTCACATATGACTATTCTCATATAAATGACTATTCTCATTTTTTCAGACTGAAAGTTACTTACTGTGCACTTTCTGTGTCAATCACTGTGCTAGATGCTGTTATCACAATTCTTTTATACTTGACATAGTCCATAAAATGACTCCACAGTCACTTTTTAAAAAAAAAAAAAAAATATATATATATATATATATTCGATTTTTACAGAGGGGAAGGAAGAGGAATAGAGAGTTAGAAACATCGATCAGCTGCCTCCTGCACACCCCCTACTGGGGATGTGCTGCCCTTGACCGGAATTGAACCTGGGACCCTTGAGTCCTAAGGCCGAGGCTCTATCCACTGAGCCAAGCCGGTTAGGGCTCCACAATCACTTTAACACTAGGAAACCGTCTAAGACAGCTGTTGTTATTGGATTATATATACATACTCTAGAGATAAAACCAGCAGAAAAAAATGGTTTCCATGTACTTGACACTGCATTTGCAGCCTCTCAGAAACTAAAGGCAGTTAGTATCTGATAGATCCTTTTCAACTTGTCATTACTGATCCTGGGTGGGAGGGGCTAATGTCCTATTAGACTTCTGGAGTGCATGATTCATCGTTAGAAGCACATGTTGGAAAAGGGCAGTTAATATTTCTCCATATACAATATTTTTGTTCCCAACTGGCCCCATCTTGGTTTCCTCCTCTCAGGATTGGAATGCGGGGTCGGGAGCTGATGGGCGGCATCGGGAAAACCATGATGCAGAGTGGCGGCACCTTTGGCACATTCATGGCTATCGGGATGGGCATCCGATGCTAATCAGGGCAATGGTTGCCCACATCTACCCTATCCCATCAGTCCCAGCCCATGTACTATAATAAAAACACTTTGAGTAGTCTGTGTTGGAGGCATTGTTTTCTTCTTCTCACTCCAGACTATTATACAGCTTGCTTAGAGACTTTCTGAGGTAGGCTGAGTAGGTTTGTCGTTTTCACTAGACCTATTAACTACAAGCTAGAAAATTTTTCCATGGCTGGAACCTTTCATAGATTCTAGTAAATCCTTATTAGTCAACCTTTTGTTGATTTATCATCACCGTTTTAATTTTTTAATGTCTGTATTGTTGAAAGCATTGCATATGTCCCCTATCATTAGTGTTTTAAAGGTGAAAAACAAGTTACAGTTCGATTTCATTTCCTCAAGGTCGAAATGCAAAAGGGTGTTTCCTTTTTTTTTTAGTATGTTTAGCAACACCAGCCAGGCAGGAGTGTTATTTTCAATACTATGTTCACTCAAAAGTTGTCCAGATATACCTGCTGGCTTGATGAGAAAAAGAACCAGTTATGATTCAGTCATGCATCTGAGGTGACAAAGGAGAGAATACAGGAGTATGAGTTTGTTTACTACAGTTAACATCTCAGGGAATTGTGCTGTGAATATTTTCCTGTGGTTTCACTTTTGTTGCTTTTCATTTTTTTTACTGTACATTTCCTTTTTGTAAACTTACATTTTATGTCTTTGTCTTTAAAGTGTCTAAACAGTACATTATAGACATGTACTGTATATAAGAAAAGTTATGCCCTGGCCTGTGTAGCTCAGATGATTGGAGTGTGCAGGTTCTATTTGTCAGGGCATATACCCAGGTTGTGAGTTTGATCACCAGTCCAATGAAGGCAGTCAATTGATGTTTCCCTTCTCTCACATGGATGTCTCTCTCCCCCACCCACCTCTAAAAATCAATAAAGATTTTTTTAGTTTAAAACGGAATCATTTGAGTCTGGAATGAATTGTTTACATTATTTCTAATGGGGAAAAAAATGCTTTGGTTTTCTAAGTCTTCCAAAACAAATTAAGTTGGAGAACCGGTTCTACTGTAATTGGCTTGAAAGTTGGTTCGTAGTAAATGGGAATGTTTTCAAGAAAATAGACTTATCTAATATTTTGTGAACATAGGACTCTCAGATTCAGCCAAAATCAGGGTTACTACCACAGTACAAATAGCAGTTAACAGATTTTCCAAAGAGTAGGTGAGATGTCTACCTAAAGGATTTCACTCAAAATGGCAATTTGCATTACTTTCTATATATTACATTATTCAAGTTGCCAAACTCGTATATATTTACTTTGAACATCATTTACAACCCAAATTTCATTCTGTGTAGAACTAAATTTTGCTGCCTTTATTAAACCATAGCCGTCTTTGCTGGAATGAGGAAACCTGACAGAACCAGGACTTGATTCAATAATTTAAAAATTATAGCTACTTCGGAAAAGTAAAAAAACAAACACACATATGTTAGCCCCAAGAAACACTGCTGTGTTTTAAAAATTGATTTTAATCTTGAAACTTCAGGTTGAATAACTGAAGCAATTTTGGACTACTCATCCAAAAGGGTTGGTAGAAAACTGTGATGGCTCCATACTCAAAATTGATTAGGTAACTTGATATCTAAGTAAATAGTGTAAAGCCTGTGCCTCAATGCTAACAAATCAAAGCAGCAGAAACAGAAATGAGGTAAGAAAATCAGTATTAGATGATAATCATTCCATTAGGATCAACATTACCTATCCAAAGGTTCAACCTATACACAACTTGAAGCAAAGTTCATAGTATAAATGGTGATGGCTCACTACCCAAGTTAAAGCTCAAAATTCCATAATAAGGTAAATGCATTAAATCAACTTGGGAAGTCAGTTTGAACTTACTCCATTTTTGTTCAGTATTTACTTTAAATAGTAAAGCATTTTTTTTCCCACAAGGATGTCCAAACACAGGAAACTTAACAATGCCCAAGTTTAAAGCCTGGATGAATGTTTTGTTTCCTTTTTTGTAAATCAGTTCTAATACATTACCCTAAATAGGTACAATGCCAAGAGAATGATATGTATAGACAACTTGAGGGCAAGAATTTATCCAGACTGCTAATAATTGTTCCAAAGAGGCAAATACCTAATAACTACTAAAAGTCAAAGAAACTAATATTCTACTTTCATGTTTCTATGACTTCAAAACATTTCAAAAATGAAGATTTCTTGTGGCCTTTTTAAGAGAATTTTATTTGAGTGGTTCTTACAAAGATTGTTGCAATATGAAAGTCATTTGTTTGATAGAAATATCAAGCTGTCTTGTCAAACACACTGAAGTAACCCAAAAATATATTTCAGAGCTCACAGAGCTTAAAAAGAGCAAAGATTATATGCAACCAGACAAAACCTATTTCTGCATTTCCCATTTCTTGCTCAGACTGTTTTGCTTACCAGACTCACTAAACATCTTGAGGAAATGCAGGGATCATTTTGTTTGGAATCTTAGACACACTGAAACACATATTTACAGAGAAACTTTTACAGATACATTAATTGAAAAGATACCATTCAGAAATGTAATTTTGAAATCTTTTCTTGCTAATTGATCAGAGTGCAAGATGAGATGTTAATCAAACAGCCCTTTAGCTGTCTTGAATTTCCATACACTAAATGTGTATTTCAGAAACCTCTGCTAAACCATTAGCCATATCAACATTAGTGAAAATGTGAAATGTAACTTGTGTAAAAAGTTAGGCTTCTGAAATGAAACATTAAAAACATTATATCCCTGTCTGCCTTTTTACATTAAGCACATTTGTTCCCCTAGAGCTATTTCTATAGATCCTTAATGTAATTTTCTACATGTACATATAAAAGGCAGAACAAGATAACAGTTTTGTATACAGTGGGATTTGCTATATAGGGAGAACGAGCACACTGCATTCCTGTTAACATTTTTATTTTTTCACGGTAACAGGAATTGTATACAAATGACAGTAGACCCTTGCCTCTTTATTTTTATCTAAATAAAAGATAACTCAAGATGAATTCTCAAAAGAAAAAGAGCTATGTACATAAGAGACTATATCTTCCTTCATCGTCTACTTGGGACCAGTAGTTGTGTTGCTGTCATAGAATCAGGAAAGAGGTTGTGATAAGTTGGAAGAGGTACATACGCTGCTGTTATCATTTTACCTGTTGAAAGAAACAGACATTGGTAGTTTAATATCTTCACTTAGATTAATTAGAGCCTTAATAATCACTCAGGAAAAGAAACATTAAACTCACCAGCAAACCACCTGCCATGCAATGCATTTACA